CTCATGCAAATCTCATGGTTTGTCCCATCATAACAAAGACTGAAGAGACCAGAGGGCACCACAAATCACATAAATACATTTTATAGAAGTATTTAGTCGTAGCGGTGTTTAGGAGGCAAAGCGACACACAGATCCTCATCGGGAGGATGTCGGCAGGTAGCCGACTCCACCTGTGCAGACATGTCTGTGACACACAGAGGGACCGAAAGTGGAAAATTAACCACAGCTGCCAAAGTAAAACATATGTAGGCCCGGTCTCCCTCCCTCCATCTGACAGCAGGTACTCCTCCTCCTCCTGGTGTCCGTGGAGAGGGCCGTTGGTTCCCTCTCAAAGGAGCCCCACCTGGCTGATTAAATCAGGCGGCGCCTCAGGGAGACGCAGGCTGCTTGCTGTAACGGGAACACTTTTGATTCCACTCCTTGTTAAACTTCATGGACGGCCCATAAGCTCTTCAGAGAGCCAGCAGAGAACACGCCGGCTTCAGCGCTAATGAAAACACAACTTTTTAGGGTTTCCAGTCCTTTTAAATCAAAGAGAAAGCGAATCGTTACGGAGCTGCATCCATTTTCAAGCCGTCAAACAGAGAGAAGGTGAAGACGCACAGAGAAAATTCTGATCCTGAAGTCTGCAGAAGTCGGTCTTGATCAAAGTGATGGAACACCTGATTGCCAACCACAGGTTAACGGTGCTAGCATGGCTAAAAATGATCCATCCATTTAGTCTGATCGTGTCTGCTCTCGTGCTTTCGGTCACCTTCTTCTTCATCATGACAGCCCAGGTTCTACACCGGGCAAGGTGTATTTTTACTACACTGAACAAAATTACAAAAGGCAACACTTTTGTTTTCGCCCCCATTCATCATGAGCTGAACTCAAAGATCTAAGACGTCCTTTATGTTCACAAAAGGCCTCTTTCTCTCAATTACTGTTCACAAATCTGTCAAAATCTGTGTCAGTGAGCACTTCTCCTCTGTAGAATAATCCATCCACCTCACAGGTGTGGCATATCAAGATGCTGATCAGACAGCATGGGAACTGCACAGGTGTGCTTTAGGCTGGCCACAATAAAAGGCCTTAGGCTGGCCACAATAAAAGGCCTTAGGCTGGCCACAATTAAAAGGCCGTAGGCTGGCCACAATAAAAGGCCGTAGGCTGGCCACAATAAAAGGCCGTAGGCTGGCCACAATAAAAGGCCTTAGGCTGGCCACAATAAAAGGCCGTAGGCTGGCCACAATTAAAAGGCCGTAGGCTGGCCACAATAAAAGGCCGTAGGCTGGCCACAATAAAAGGCCTTAAGCTGTTGTTGCAAGTTGCAAGTTTTGAGGGATGCTGACTGCAGGAATGTCCACCAGAGCTGTTGCCCTTGAATGTTCATTTCTTCACCATAAGCTCCAAAGGTGTTTCAGAGAATTTGGCGCTACATCCAATCTCAGGGAAGCTCATCTGCATGCTCGTCGTCCTCATCGGGGTCTCATCCTGACTGCAGTTCGTCGTCATAATCGACTTGAGTGGGCAAATGCTCACATCCGATGGCGTCTGGCAGTTTGGAGAGGCGTTCTCTTCACGGATGAATCCCGGTTTTCACTGTACAGGGCAGATGGCAGACAGCGACACCAGATACTGACTGGTTTCCGCAGCTTTATTCCAGAAACTGGTGTCAGAGGGAAAAAAAGACGGGGTTTTTGGATTAAAGAACAACTGACCACGATCCGCCCGGCCCAAACAAGAGGACCAGGCGCCACCGCGGGTGCAGCAGTCGCTCAGAGGAGAGGAAAGCGAGCCGGGATATGAGCCATATTTGACTTAATCCTGATCCTAAAGGTCCGTTCTGGACAAAATGGGACTCATGTTGGTCAAGCAACAAAAATTAGAGACTGTTGTGCCCACATCTTTGCAGAGACCTGCCTCATCAACATCCCGGAAGCAAGCCCTCGGAAGATGGTCCATGTTCTGAGCTGTCAGCGCAAAGACTCCGCCAAGATGAGAGGAAGTGGACTGTGTTTCCATCGATGATGATGATCGGTGCTCAAACTCAGTCAAGATGGACTCTGTTTCCCAAATGTCAGACTGTTTAATGTAAAGATGAAACCAGATCAGTACAGCTGCTGAACTCGCATGTCAACCGAAGACGATGTGATGCGGTTGAAAGCAAAGTGGACCTTGAGTTAGGATTTTGTCAAACTGCGATCCTTTTATGTCTAACTATCCAAACTTTCTGTATTATTTTAACATGTCGGCCTCCACACGCCACTGCTGCTCTATTCACATGTAAAGATATGTTCTTAAAATACTACAAAATACTCGAGTCATATGACAACAGAGGAGATGTTTGCCAGTGTAAACCTGAACATGACCTGATATCTGACCATGTGTGCCGGTCTGGCTGCTGAGGGCGAGACCTTGTCCGCCGCAGCGGCGTCCTCGTCAATGAAACATATGCAAAACATAGGAAATAATTTCCCTCTGAAACCACAATTCAGTCTCACTTCGTCACGACATCTCAGACGCAGGTCAACAGGACGTCTGTCACAGCTTCACAGATGCACTGATCTTACGCCACAAACTTAAAGGCCATGATGCACTGCTGCAGATTAAACTACCCAGCAGGATATAAAGGAGTAAAAACATCTACAGCAGTAAAATGCAACACACACATTAATGCAGCAGGAATATCAATCCAGAAACATCAGATGTAACAGAAGAACATTTACTGCAACTTGAGTAGGGGAGAGCGGGGTATGTCGTCACACCTTTCCCATTTAGTCGATTTGCCTGGCCTGAGGTTTCACACACTTCATCCACATACTGTCTGAAATCCTGAAATATTTCTTCCTTCCTTTCTTCAAAAACACATTTTCTCATTGCAGTTACAAATAAATTACATCCTTTGTCTACCATCCTTGTTGCCAACTAAATTACTGACTGTGTGTTTGTTTACTAACACACTACATGCCAACAGTATGAGACTGTATTTTCCCAGGAGCCCACACACTTCATACAGTGTCGTGAATTCAGTCTTGTGAAGTACATTTAGCTAAAAACACATTTACTGTTACTTGAGTAAGGTTTTTAAGTGCAGGACTTTTACTTGTACAGTGTGGTATTAGTACTTTTATTTCAGTAAAAGCATCTTCCACCGCTGCTGCGCATCAAGAAAGCAAAGGATGGAACTTTTTATTGCACAAGTCTGTCGCTATTCCTTATTTTTCTTCTCAACAAATCTCATCTCAAACCATCAGTGCGACTCCGACTTCCTGTCGGAACGAGATCTCCTTAAAAATAACTTTAAAAGTTATTCAGTAGCTGGATCATTTTCATGATTAATCCATCAGTTTGGTTCAGAAAATGTCAGAGAGGACGTCTTGTTTCGTCCACAACTCAAAGAACTTTCATACTGGACAAATTACACCAGAAAATATTCACATGTAAGAAGCTGGAATCAGAGAATTTGGACGTCGTTTCTTTTTATAAAATGACTCAAAACGATTAATTAATTATCAAAAGAGTTGCCCAATCATTTAATTGTTGACAGCTAACCGGTTAATGGTTGCAGCTGTACCGGAGAGTCGCCTCTGAGAGGAACATCAGCTGCACAAACTCTGCTGCTGCAAGTGCTGTACTTTACTCGAGTACTTAGATGTTCTGTGAGTTTCTACGTCTACTAGGTTCATTTTTTTGTCCCGTAATTTAAGTCAATATTTTCTAGATTCATTACACCTAAACTGAAACATTTTTTTTGTTTTAATCTTGAAGATTTCAGCTTCTGGAAATCAAAACTCCAGCATCTCAAAATGTCTTAGAGTAAAGAGTTTATAAAACAGAAACGTCGACCTGAGCAGAGCTCTGATCAGCTGATTAACTCAAAACACCAGCAAAGGTTTCCTGAGCCTTTAGTCTCTGGTGTCACGTTTGGAAACGTTTCCTTAAAGAACAGAAACTTGGCGAGTCCCAGATTATCGCGGCGTCCCTAAACACCACACAGCTACAGCGGATGACTTCTTCCTTCTAGATGAAGGTTTTAAGTCCTTAAGTGCAGAACAAAGCGTGTTCCTGTGGCCGTCACTCAGAAAGTGCACAGATGATCCAGAAGCGCCGTTTATTTATTTTAGTGATGATTGGAGCCCTCAGTAATTTTATTATCTGCTGCCTGTGTTGTTTCTAAACTGTGAGGATGACTCATCTACTGCAAAACAAATCCACCTACGGGAACAAAGAAAGTAGCCTGATTCAGATTAATGATACGAAATATAATCAACAAATAAAGTCTGATTTAACGTTATTATTGTTGGAGGATAAGTTGAGACTAACCAGCAGAATATAAAGTGACTAAAAGGACCAGCTGCAGCTTGAACACATGATTATTATCTATCATTATATGTTGTTCTGCATTATGAGTACTTTTACTTTGGATATTTTAAGTGTATTTTGACTTATTTTTAGGTATTCCTACTTGAGAAACTGTTTTGAACGCAGGACCTTTAATCGAAAGAAAGTATTTGTAAACTGTTTATAAAATTACTAAAGGTTGTAAAAGCTGTGAGTACTTCTTCCATCTCTGCAAAGTACCATGAAGTACTCAGACGCTTAAATACTGCTACATGCTTACCACAAGGTAGAAATACACAATACAAATCCTGCATTCAAGATTCTACTTGAGTAAAAGTTGAATTAAGTCAATAAATCAATCATATACTAATAACTAATACCTCCCTTAACAGAGGTGAAAGAAGTACTCAGTAGCAGGACCAGAGTAGAGTAAACATCCGGAATCAAAACGAAGTAAAAATACAGACGTATTATCAGAGAAATGTACTTATCCAATTTAATAAGTATCACTGTGTACTCTTTACTTCTCTTCTTCAATGATAACAATTATTTATCCAGTGATTACAGGATGTAGTAATCACATGAAGCTTTAAAACAAGTACTGCAGTAAGAACACAATAATAAATATAATATTTCTCTGAGACTAGGTGAAGTAGAAGTATTAGCAGTAATACCTCAGTGTTACTTTCCCACCAGTAGCATCTACTGGTCACCGCTGAGCTGCTGTTTATTGATCCAGTTACTGTAAAAGCCTAATATCGAGTACTCCCAGTACTGCGACCAGTACTACCGAGCAGGCCGAGTACTGCATCTTCTCACAGTAATAATACCACATGCAGGTGCCAGCAGTACTACAGCAGCCATCTGCCATCCTCAGTGATGACATCAGCGGCGGGTCCTCACACGCGCGCAGGTGGAGACAGCGTCTTACCTGCGTGAACGGTCCCGTCTTCAATCAGGTCCGCCGGCGTTCAGCAGGAGCCCGGTCCGTCCGGTGACCCTCCGTCCGTCCGTGAGTCCGTCCGTCCGCCAGCACCGACCGGAGCTGCGCCGCACCAGCTCAGTCAAGCTCTCCCCATTTAACAGACACGATACAGGAAGTGACAGGAAGCGGGGTCTTCACAATAAAAGCACGCCGCACGGAAGCGTGGGGAAAAAGTGGAACAGTGAACTGTCAGATCAAACTAATGCAGGGCCGGATTAACATGGGGGGGCCTCGGGGGCCAAACTGATGTGCAAAAACCTTTCACTTCTTGTGCCTCGTGTTATGTTAGTCTTATTTTCTTCAAACAAGTGATTATAATGCAGCAACATGCAGATTGTTTTTCCTTTACTTACCTTTCACAGCAGTGGAAAAAGTATTCAGATCCTTAAGTAAAAAATAAAGTATATGTGTTGTGTATGTTTTATTTACCGTAAAACTTGGATTAATAGCCCGGGCTTTTATTTGTTAAAATCACTGAATAGACCCCGCCTATATTTGGGACAGGCCTTTAATTCCTTTTGCACAGAACTGAAACTACTATGAAACAGTTTATTTCAAACAGAATAATAAAAAAAAAAATCATCAAATAATATCAAATACACGTCGTTCATTTGATCTAGCTCTGACAGACGGCTTATGCGCTTTTATTTTGAAGTTAGCAGACAGAGAGCGATGGACTTCACATGACAGGATTCACAACGTGGATTCATTTTTATGAGCAGTCATCATTTTTTTCCCTTCCTCTCTTGTACCAGGCAGGTTAGATCGATAAATCCATAAGAATCAGACTTTGGGTCTCGTTGTTTCCCTTAAATGAAGTGAACTATTGAATTGTGGAGAATCAAACCCATCTAAGGATGTGCAGCGTGTCCACACTGACATACTGATCACACGTTTAAACATTAATATTTGTATTAACGATCTGAGCAGCTTAGAAGCAGCTAAAGCGACGACCCCGCGGGGTTTAAGAGGTTTTATACATCGAGAGAGCTTCTATAAAAACCAGACCAGGCGTCTAATGGAGACCTGCGTTTATTGAAGTTTTACGGTAATCGTTAATCATTACTTTTTTCTAGAATCATTTTGTATAATATCCACTGAATATCCAGAGGCGACGTCTCACTATAAGCCCTTAGGGGTTTCTTACCTCTCCTGTATAATTCAGTGTTTTTTAAAAAATATATTTGTCTTTTGTGCAACTAAAAGACAAAACAAAATCTCTGTTACAAGTAAAAGTCCTGCATTGAAAATATTTTTTTGAGTATAGGAATGCGAGTATAATCAATAAGATGTACCTAAAGTATTAAAAGTACTCGTCCCCTGTGACTGATTAAAACAAAACTCCGGATTTAAATTATTGTCCAAATACTAAAACTACTGTTACATTAGTAAAGATCTGCATTCAAAATGTTACTTAGGTAAAATGATTTAAGTATAATCAGTAAAATGTTCTTAAATTATTAAAAAGTGTCTCGTGTGAGTGTTGTACTATTATATTTTATAGATTATTGATTATGTTTTTGCACTTTAGTGTAAAAACATAATCAGGTGAGTCTCAGCCTGTTGTGTGGCACTTTAATACATTCATTTGTATTTAACATCATAGAGTGGCGCATCATGAATGCATAACTTTGTCTTGTGTTTTGTTGTGTTGTTGTTGTTTTGTACCTTGTGACCACAGATGGAAAACAACCTTCGGGGTAATTCTGGCATATTTAAATTGCTGAAAAGCAAATATGTTCCATTACTCTTCACCTTCCCTCATAAATAAATAAAACTCATGCATTAATGTAAAAACAGGATTTTACTGGAGTTTGTTGAGGTTGAACTATTTTGTATCAGACTGAAATTAATGATTATTTTAATTGTGGATTAATCTGCTGATTATTTTCTTCATTAATTGATCGTAAACATTCTGAAAAGAGAGAGAATTGTTGTTCCAAACACCTTCACAATGTTTGTTCTGTCGGTCCAAACCTCAAAATGTCAAATAATCAAAAGGAGTCTTTGTGCAGAGACAGATCATTCTGATGTTTGCTGTTACAGCAGATAAAGGTGTTGTTTTACCTGTAGTACTAGAATTTCCTAAGTGTTTGATTGATACCTTACACAGCACTGTTTTATTTATTGTATTCAAATGTCTCTTTTTATATTTCCCTATTAAGCAGTAATGTTTTATGTAAAGCACTTTTTTCTCAGCCAAGTTTGCATTTATACGACTACCATTTAGACAGAAACTGTTTTTTTCAATCACTCACAGGATCTTTTTATTGTCTTCTTTCTAACTAGTCTTTTTAGAAATGCATCTGCATTTAAACGATCGTCAAGCGACAGCTGATGGGTTCCAAGATTATTCTAACGATAAAAGATCAGCATCACACAAATGTGTAACTTGTGTGATGATTTTCCTTTCAAACACAAATATGCAAATGATATATTTGATCAAATCATAATTTCTATTTATCGGAAAGTGATTTTTTGCCCCCCATGCATCCCCTAATAACTGCAGAAGCACCGCTGGTTGGGAATCACTGGTTTATCTGATCAAACAGAACAAGTCACAACACATTTAAAGACTTTAACTCCTGGTCTTGGATCTGCTCTGAAAATACTTTCAACAGCTACAACCCACCAAAAAACCCCCACAGAAGAAACACTTTCTCTTTTATGCGCTGAGGTTTTGAGGTTCAGAGTTTTAGGGAGGAGGCCGAAGTCTCAGAGAACAAAACTGTAAATAAACCACAACTACCTGCACGGCTGCATGAAGTCGGCGGGAGAAAATACAGATTTGTTGTTTTGTGCGTTTGTGATTTTGGGTAAACTGACCCTTTAATTATTCTGCTGCTGAGACATTTAACAGGCTGCAGCGCCTCTCTGTGGCTAAACAACCACACTGCATGAGGATCATTTAGAGCAGGGGACATCCTCAGACAAAAATCAACCCGACATAACAGGATGCTTTGGGGGATGTACTCAGTAATTATTTTGTTATGTAGGGTACACTGCGCATCCTGGATGCTATAGATACTATAAACCCTTTGAAGTTTCTTACCTTTCCTGCACAGTCCTCTCCATGTTGTCTTTATATCCCTCTATCTGCCTCTGTGCTCTTCGTAAATAAATAAAAATTAAGAGTCATTTCCAATGTGAGCCTGAGTCTGTCTTTAGTAAAGCAGCTGAATTAGCAGCTGAACATGTGGCTGTGCAGACGGCTCTCAAACTTAAAAATGTGAAGCTTCTCAGGTTCTGCAGACAATACAAAGTCTTTTTCAGGATTTCTGTGTGAATTTATGGACATTTATTCAGGATGGACAGATTAATGAAATCCTAGGGAAGTGTTAGTCAGACCGAATCTGAAAGTGTGTGTTTAATGTGTGTGTGTTCAGATTGAGTTGTGTTGGTGAACACACAAACACGCAGCCGACAGGAGCGACACGTGAATTCTGCTCGGATTCCAGAGAGAAATGTCAACGTTTCCTTTTCACCTGCTCACCATCAGGTAACGAAGTTTTAACTGGATCCCTGCGAGAAGACAGACTGAGAAATCTGGCAGGTTCAGGAAAACTGGAATCCTAAATGTCAATTCAAGAACTTGTTAATTGCATGAACGAATACGATAGTTTGGGGCTGCAACTAACGACTGATTTAACCTGCTAAATATTTTCTAAAATTAACTAATTAATTGATTAGTCTATGAAATGTCAGCGCTCCTAACGTAAATGATGTTCAGTTTACTGTTCATGAAACGCAGTAAATCCTCACACTGCAGAAAGTGTTCGGTATTTCGTGTGAATGTAAAAAAAAAAAATAAAATAAAAAAAAAAGTTTGCCTTGTAGCTGCATTCTGGGTATTTTCCTGCGTTTCCCTCCTGCTTGCGATCAATTGTTGATGTTTTAGATCTCTGCATTCAAACTCTCCTGCAGCTGCTGAACCACCTGCTGTTTTAGCAGGTTTTAAACATTTTAGTGATTTTATTTCCGTTTAAACCGGCTGACTCTGAAGACAAAGATTCACATATTTGATACTGCAAAATGTTTTTCCTTTTAAAGACCTGCAGCAGAAAAGGTGTAAATGTTGCTGCTCCATAAGTGCTTCTGATAAAAACAGGTAATCGTGGACTTTATGGGACATAAAAGGCGCCACAGCGACGGAGAAGACTTGTTTCTGATTGGCTGGTCTGATAAAATGATGTAACAGGATTTCTCAGACAAAAATCAGGTCACAAGTTTAACCAGCTTCACATGAGGGTCTATTAAACTGCAGTTAATTATGGCAGCAAGGCTTCAGCTTCAAAACTGAATCAAACTACAAACTATAAAACAGTTCATGTGATTTAAAGCAGAGCTGGTCAGGTGACGCAGCAGGAGGATCCCCGACAGAGACCAGTGTTTCACCTCTGAACTGCCAAAGCTGCTGGGAAGAAACATGAAATCAGCAGCCGTGATGACGATAATATGGCGAAAAGAATATTAATTCTGCATTAAGTTTGTCTTGGTTACAGATTTGATTTTAATCAGTTTCTGTATCATATTAAAGAGGCACTTTAATGCGTGTTTCTCCCCGGGGAGAGTCACACTGTCCATTCATGACAATTAAGAACAAACCCGTCGGAACGAGCGGTCACATGAGGTCCAGTGTTTGATTTAACTGTTTGACGAATGGCTTAAATGCCATAAATATTCCACAAGCTTCTGTTTACATTTGGTCTGAAGCCCGGAGAGAAGAGGCTGTGATCTCTGCAGAGCTCCAGAGATTTAAAATGGGAAAAATCTCCTTTTAACATTTATCGCTTAAAACTTACTAGTCACTATTTAAAAGCTACTAGAACTTATTAGTTACTAATAAGTATTTACA